CAAGACTTGGACAAATGAAGAGCTAAGGGATGTGGCACTGTCACAGACCAAGCATTAGCAAAAGCTTCCCAGCCACACTCTTCCCAGCCACACTGTCTTCATGGCTCCAGAGGTTTGAGAGCTGTGGCAAATTGCTTTTCTTCCTTTACCTGCTCGTTAGCTAGGAAGCAGTCTTTGCTTACTTAACTTCCACAAAACTTATATAGGAGTGTCTGCTCCATCATATATGAAAACACCAAAATTTAAACGATTTGGTATTTGCTAAGGAAAAAGGATATTTTGAATATACTCAAACATTTAATGTCTAATGAAGTTGGCGGAAAATTGTTTATTTAGTAAATAGTATAGACACACTTGCCTCTCAATATAGAAAATAATAGATTAGCTTCATACCTTACACCATATAATATATATTTTAGATGAGTTAATAAAAGATTAACCTATAAAAAAGTAAAAAGTGGGGGGATGTTTGAATAACCTCAGGATAGGGGGAAATCTTTAACAAGACAAGAAGCTCAGAAGCGTACAAAATGGACAGATTTGACTGTCTCAGTGTTAACTATTTATTATGGCAAAAGTCACAAGCATAGTGAAAAATATCCAGTAAACCTGGCAAAGACATTTGTTTACACATGATGACATGTAGCCTAATTTTAAAGGAGCTCCTATGAGCTGAGAAAAGAAAATATCAGAGGATCAAGGCTGTTTAGAGAGGACCCCCAAGAGGCCAGCAAACATGAAAGCAAACACGACCTCATTCAGAGTTGGGTGTGTAACAAAATAACATCGAGATGCATTCTTCAACATTCTCACGAGATTTAAAAGGGATTAGTCATCCAGTGTAGGCAAGATTGTGAAATGCAACAGTCTTTTTGGAAAATAATCTGGTACCATCTTAAAATAAAAAACAGACTTTTGACATAGCAATTCCACTTTTGGAAATCTATTCCACAGAAATAAAAGAATTATTTCAAGTGAAATATGTAAGAGAATGTTTATTACAACATTGTTTACAATGGGAAAACACTCAAAGCCCTTTATTGATCATTAACAAAGTGACTGAAGAAATTATGGCATATTTATAGTATGGTGTACTCGGCAATTTTTAAAAATGAACTTAATCTATATGTGATGTCGTAAAAGGATGTCTATGATATTAAGAGGAGGAAAAAAAGCAACCAACTTGCAGAGTGACATGTATTGTGTGATTACTTCAAAAAGAAAAAACAAAGAATAAACCTCTACTCATTGAACAAGCGTGTATGAAACAGGACTTCTGAATAGAAAAATAAAAAAGGGGAAGGGATGTAAATTACCTAAGTCTGGATTTCTGAAAAGGGCACCAATCAGATAAATAGCTGCTCCTTAAAATATTACATTTGTACTTGGAAGAGCATGATTTTCATTATGTTTTAACGGAAAGTCTCCATTCCTCGGGATTGCTATAGAGGATATCTACCATTTGAATTCAGTGTAAAAGGGTCATGTCACTAAGATTTTCTCGGCTCACCTGCAGTCACATGACCCATCAACAAGGCAGAAAGAACATTTTTCTAGCACCAGAGTATTGCCATATTGGTTCAGCCTTTGATTCATGTCTTTATTGAACAGGGATATAATGAGCTTCTCCAGTGTTCTGTGGCATGAGGCTCTGCCAGGTCAGTAAGGCCCTTGCCCTCTAACAGCTCCCAGTCTGGGTCGCAGCGACAGGGACGCGGCTCTCATGCAGGGTGCTGTATGTGCGCATCAAATGAGGTAATGCCAATGAAAGTGTGTCCAGAGGGCAATGGCAGCCACCCCCGGGACTGGGCCCTCCAAGAGCATTTAGGCGGCACACAGTAGTGCTGAGGATGGGAATCCCGTGGCCCCCGGGGTTGGCCAGGGGATGCGTTAGATGCCCCCATGCGGTGCATGAATAATGCTGGCTCTAGGGCAAAGCCCATGCAGGTAAAATAGGACAGAAAACCTCACCTAACCCGACCGGTAGCAGTGCTGCACAGTACCCAGCAAAGAAGAAGGGACACTTATTTATTTTTTTAATTGTAGAAAACTTCAAATGTGTATACAAGTAGAAGAGTAGCATAGTGAACCCCCTCTACACTTCGCCCGGCTTCAGCAGTTGCCAACCTATGAGCCACTCACTTCATCTCCGCTCCTGACCCCCCCGGACTTTAGGGGCCTGGGCCGGGGCGAGGGAAGTCTTGCTTTACCCCGGGCCGCGCGGGCCGCGTGCTGTTTGCCCCGCTCATCAGGCAGAGCAGCATTCAGAGTCCATAAATAGTTTGTGCGTGCTTGAACAGGTTGTGTAATTTCCCCCAGCAATTTAAAGATAAAATAGTTGGCCTGGAGGATATCTCATTTCCATTGACCTTATTTCCTATAATTCTACTGATTTATTCTTTCACTGCTTCCATCACCCAGGTAGGGAGGAAAAACAGCTTGGGGGCTGGGGAGGAGGTAGGAGACGGGAAGCGTTGGTTTGGGGTGGAAACACAAGACGTTGGGGNCAGCTTGGGGGCTGGGGAGGAGGTAGGAGACGGGAAGCGTTGGTTTGGGGTGCAAACACAAGACGCAAGTTGCATGGTGCTTTCTTGGGTGCTCCTTCTCCCTGATCTCTTGTTGGCGTTTTGCCTTCAGTTGGAAGCTCTCTTTTCTTAGCTTTCATGGAAGGTGCCCCCTGGTCCTCCACCAGGTCTCTGTCTGAGCTTTCCCAGCGTGCCACGCGCTCTGCTCCCTCTCCCCGGGCCGCAGCAGGGGGCCCTTCCCACGCGCTGCTCCCCAGCTCCTGGTCTCTCATTACACTTGCTTATAGATTTTAATGTGTAACCAAGTGCTTTTCCCCAATTAAAATAAGTAACGACAAAAAATAAGACCGCACATATTTGGAAAAAATAAAAACAATGTGTTATGAAATTTATAAAGCAATAACTTATTTCATACAGTGTAATAAAAGCACAGTAATCAAGATAACATTCAGTGGGAAAAAGGACAACTACTGATACATGCTAAACCGCGGATGAACCTTGAAAACATACCAAGTGAAAGAAGCCGGACACGCATATAATTCTCTTTATAAGAAATATCCAGAGTAGGCAATCCTGTAAAGACAGAAAGTAGGTTGAGTATTGGTTGCCAGGGGCTGGAGGAAGAAGGGAATAGAGAGTCACTGCTAATGGGCTGGGGTTTTTTGTTTGTTTTGTTCGATGAAAATATTCTGGAAATAGTGCTGTTGCACAATCTTGTGAATATATGAAAAACACTTTATTTTTTTAAATTTTAGTTTTATTTTTTAACATTTTTATTGTTGACACTATTACAGATGTTCTCATTTTCCCCACCCTGCCCCCGTCTCTTCCCTCTGGCCCTCACCACACCTTTGTCTGTGTCTATGGGTTATGCATATATGTTCTTTGGCTAATCCCTTCACCTTCTTTCATCCAGTCCCCCCACCCCACTCCCCTCTACAGCTCTCAGTCTGTTCCATGTAGCCAGGCCTCTGTTTCTATTTTCTCAGTTTATTTTGTTGATTGGATTCCACATATAAGTGAGATAATAATGGTATTTGTCTTTCTCTGACTGGCTTATTTCACTTAGCATAATAGTCTCTAGGTCCATCCATGCTGTTGCAAAAGGTAAGATTTCCTTTTTTATGGCCAAGTAGTATTCCAGGGTGTAAATGTCCCACAGCTCTTTTTACCCATTCATCTACTGATGGGCACTTGGGCTGTTTCCAGATCTTGGCTATCGTAAATAATGCTGCTATGAACATAGGGGTGCATATATTCTTTTGAATTGGTGTTTCAGAATTCTTAGGATATATTCCCAGAAGTGGGATCACTGGGTTGAAAGGCAGTTTCATTTTAATTTTCTGAGGAACTCCATACTGTTTTCCACAGTGGCTGCACCAATCTTCATTCCCTCCAACAGTGCACAAGGATTCCCCTTTCTCCACACCCTCGCCAGCATTTGTTTGTTGATTTGTTGCTGGAGCCATTCTGACAGGTGTGAGGTGATATCTCATTGTGGTTTTAATTTGTATCTCTCTGATAATTAGCGATGTTGAGCATTTTTTCATATGTCTCATGTCCTCTTTGGAGAAGTATCTATTCAGGTCCTTTGCCAACTTTTTAATTGGATTGTTTGTCTTCCTGGTGTTGAGCTGTACAAGTTCTTTATATATTTTGGAAATTAACCCCTTATTAGATATATCATTGGCAAATATCCCATACAGTGGGGTTTCTTTGTATTTTGAGGCTGATTTCTTTTGCTGTGCAGAAGCTTTTTAGTTTGATGTAGTCCCATTTGTTTATTTTTCCCTTTGTTTCCCATGTCCTAGGAGATGTATTGGCAAACACATTGTTTTGAGAGATGTCTGAGATTTTACTGTCTATGTTTTCTTCTAGGATTTTCATGGTTTCAAGACTTACATTTAAGTCTTTTATCCATTTTGAGTTTATTCTTGTGTATGGTGTAAGTTGGTTGTCTAGTTGCATTTTTTTGCAGGTACCTGCCCAATTTTCCCAACACCATTTATTGAAGAGACTGTCTTGACTCCATTGTATGCTCTTGCCTCCTTTATCAAATATTAATTGGCAATATAGGTGTGAGTTGATATCTGGGTTCTCTGTCCTGTTGTATTGATGTATAGGTCTGTCTAAAACACTTTAAAATGATGAATTGTATGGTCTGTAAATTATATCTCAATAGAAAAGAACTGTATAATGAAAAATATCCTTATTATTATAATTAGCAGATTATTTAGGACAACTATATCCTCAAGTAAATAAGAGTTAATTGATGGATGTCAAGAACAGCTGGAAATCTTTTTCTAGACCACAAGTGCAGCCATCATTTGTTGACTAATAGGACAGGAGTGAGCTTCAAGTAGGTTACCCGGTGTAATCTCTAAGAAGTTGTGTCTGGGAGTTGCTTTTGGTTAGGGAACTAACTTCTTCATTTCAAACTCTCTATCTTATGCATTATTTTAATTTTACTTTCAGCATCAGTATGACAACCTGTTCCACGGTGGCTGCCCTGGGGATGATGCCACTCTGCCTTTATCTCTACACCTTGTCCTGGAATTATGAGAAGAATTATTTCACCATTCCGTATCAGAACATAGGTCTGTATGAGTTTGGGAAAGGAAAGTTACAGGAATGGGGATGGTAAGAATAATAGCTGTTGTTTACTATGTGTCTCCTTTATGCCGGGGTTGTTATGTTACCTAATTTAATTCTCCAAGTAACCTACAGTACAGATTCTATTACCAGTTCCATTTCCTAGATTTTTAGGATTAGGGAGGTTAAGTAACTCGACCAAGTTTGTTCAGCTGGTAAAGACAACTAGTGTCCTGACTCAGGAATCTGACTGCGAAGCCCAAGCTCTTAACCCCTACTTGAGTTCACTTTTGAAAATAAGACCAGAAAACTTACTTATTAAAAATATCTAGTATAATTTACTATAAAGCAATTGGATTCATCATGACCAAAAAAGTTAACTGGGTGGCAATGGCTCTAGTGAGACCTTAGTTCCCACAACTCCACCTTCACATTGCCTGTGAGCCTTTGACTACTTTACTGATTGGCACAAATGATTTCTATTGATTATTAAAGTGTGTCCACATGTCACAACTGTTACCCATATCTTTTTCATTATCTCCTTTCCTGAATATTATTTGTCATTAAACTCTGCCCTTTTCCCAGAAATCCCTGTGAACTCGCTAGGCTTGGGAGAAAAACTTGGCAAAACGATCTGCTTCTTCTCGTTTGCTCAGAGTCTTTGGAGAACTGGTAGAAACTGTGATTCTTAAAACTCCGAAGTGTCAATCTGGGGTCTCAAGTAAGCACTTGGAGGGCTTACAACCGACAGTTCATATTTCAAAACCATGACCAGAGCCATCTCCTGGTAACAGCTGGAGACCACTGAATCTGTGAAAATTTGAGTGAAATCTTAATTTAGAAATCATGATTTTTATGTGCAACCTTTGCTGATCAGTAAGTTACTCAATATATCCTGTTTTGATAACATATTCTGAAAGACATGCATAAATAATTAAAACCCAAAATTTTATGAGCAATTCGTATAACTTTGGAGCCGGTATTGCAGGCATTGGGCCGGATTTGGGACGTGGCTCTGGAAATGCCAGCGAGTGGATGCTGTCAGCAAGGTGACCCCGGCCCTGCTGAGCCTGCCTTCAATGCCCTCATTCACTTGTGTTAATTAAAAGGCATTTTGTCCTGCTTGCCTTAGGGTTACCCAGCTGCACTTGGAGAATACGAGAAATTGCTTTGGTATGTGTAATACATGCTGTTTTTATGTCTGACATAGGCATTCTCACTTTGTGAAGCAAGTGACCCGTTGGCTTGAAACAGGGAATAGTGGCTGTGGTGGGGGCGCCGCGCATAGCACCAGGGGTGACCCCAGACTAAAGCGGCCCCCCGTGGCCGCCGGCAGGTTGCCAGTTGTCTCGGAAGCCCCGTGCGACTGTCGGGGATTCTGAGAGAAGTGGTGGACCAAGGGTGGCAGCGTCCAGCAGCGTCACACACGCTTCACAGGTTGTCTTCCAAAGATTAAAAAAGAAAAGGCGGAGGTAGACGCAGAAACGAAGTGCAGCTTTCATGAAAGCTGCTATCTANCGCAGAAACGAAGTGCAGCTTTCATGAAAGCTTTTATCTACGTGAGCAGAAGCAGCTGCGGGCTGGGAGGTGCGGGCGAGAGGGGCGCCGTCTGACGGCTTTTTCTTCCGTTCAGGAATCTCCCTCGTGTGCCTGACCATCCCTGTGGCCTTCGGTGTCTATGTGAATTACAGGTGCCCCAAACAATCCAAAATCATTCTCAAGGTGAGCAGCTCCGCCTGGCAGGCAGCACAGCCTCGGACCAGAGCTGTGACGGGCGGGTGTGGCAACGACTGGGACAAACAGGACAGTCCAGCAGTCCCACACCCGGCAAGCTTACCCACGTGCCCTGCGGCTTTGGATCCCACCTCCATATTTCCTCCGCCTCCCTAAGCCTTGCTCTGCCACTCCCACGGACTCATCCACTGAGGCTTACGACACCCTGGAAAGTGTGGGGCTCTTGCTGGAGGGACAGAAAAGCTCAGGCCTGTGCGTGGTCAGCGCGTGCTCAGGGCCACAGGTGCGCAGGCCGCGCGCAGCGGTGCCAGGGGCTGGGGCGAAGCTGGTCTCCTGTGCAGCGGTGCCGGGGTTTGGGGCGAAGCTGGTCTCCTGTGCAGCGGTGCCAGGGGTTAGGGGCGAAGCTGGTCTCCTGTGCAGCGGTGCCAGGGGTTTGGGGCGAAGCTGGTCTCCTGTGCAGCGGTGCCAGGGGCTGGGGCGAAGCTGGTCTCCTGTGCAGCGGTGCCGGGGTTTGGGGCGAAGCTGGTCTCCTGTGCAGCGGTGCCAGGGGTTGGGGCGAAGCTGGTCTCCTGTGCAGCGGTGCCAGGGGTTGGGGCGAAGCTGGTCTCCTGTGCAGCGGTGCCAGGGGTTAGGGGCGAAGCTGGTCTCCTGTGCAGCGGTGCCAGGGGTTAGGGGCGAAGCTGGTCTCCTGTGCAGCGGTGCCAGGGGTTAGGGGCGTACCTGGTCCCCTGGACGAGCAGGACAAGGGCTGCCTCTCAGGAACATTCCTGGGGACCTTCTAAAGTCGCAGTTTGTACACACGGGCAGGGGCTCCCCACCATGTGAAGAACTGTCACAGTGAAACAGCCGGCGCGCACGGGGGGGCCTGGCCATGGTGATGGTAACGGAGCTCCTGCCCCCCGCCCCGGCCTTGCAGGGCTGTCCCATGCTGCCCGAGAGTCAAGCACACGTCCCTGTTCCATGGCTTTTAAAATACCTAGAGAAGACATTCTCAAGAAGGGGGCTGATCTCCTGGGATGCTTTCTGACCTTCCAGTTATATACCAGTTTAGAAGGGAGAGGATTGTATTATGTGCTACTTTCATGAAGAGTTTAAAAATGGTTTAGTTATATTTTACATGTATAAAGAAATAAACATTTGGGGCTAACCAGAAGTTTAGCAAATACATGCGAGTTTGTTTTAGTTTGGAGTTTGTGGTTTGGGCCAGTTTAAGCTCTTGCTATTCGGCTCTGCCGGACAGAACGTGGCCACTCCATTGGCCACACAAACCACGAACGGAGGCTGCTTTCGGGCCTTACAGCCCCACCGTCCCCGCCATTCCTCCAGTGAGATGAACATGGGAAAGGCGGGGAGGTGGGGCGTGTTGTTTATAAAACAAGAGAATAAAATAGGATCATGGGAACCTCTCTTCAAGCACTCCGCCTTTGTTATTTTCTTGAAAGGGCATTTAGCAACAACAACAAATCATGATTTTGGTGTTTCCAGACCCTCTAATAGTCTGTCGGTGCCAATGGGGAAATCAGATACATTTTCTGTAGTTCAGTTTTATTTCTGTAAAGAGCAGATTTAGAACCCCTTTCCCTTAGCTATTCCATAGGATTTGTGGCAGAAAATATTTAATAATATGCATAAATATTCTCGAGAGGCTTTGTAGAAAGACTAGGATGCTTTAATCACTATTTTGACGTATCTTCAATCTCTGTTCCTAATCCTGTTTTAACTTTATGATTCATTTTCTAAACAAATTGCTTTCGGTGAGCTTTAAACTTTTAAGTCCCCCTTTTGGTAGAAAGATTCAGAGGATTTTTATAGTCACAGGCCTTCTCCGTATATTCCAGCACCTTCCATCGCGGCGGGGCCCAGTCTATCCTTGTGTTTGGGAGTAAAAGTGACCCCGAGAACACACCTATGGCTCACTGAGCTGCCTTTGTTTTGTTTTGGGTACCCATGGCTACCTGCCTGCACAGCCTGAGTCACTGCACATCAAGGCGGATGCTGTAACTAGGTACATAGTTTGCTGTCACCTGGTATGAACAGGAGCTTGCCAAGATCCTGATCTTCCCCAAATATTCTAGGTCTTGCTTCTTTCCTATCTGATCTAAAACTCAAACTACTGGAAATTTCTTTGCTGATTTTTTTTTTCTTCCTGCTAAACAACAAAAGAAAGAGACAGTATTCATTTGGGAGAGGACAGAGGTATTAGTTGGTACCTCTCACATTACATTAATTAACTCAGAGTGTTTCGTGACAATTGGGTAAATTTCATTTGGAGGAGAACAGGGCAGGGATCAAAGCAGGAGAAGCCATTGGTGGTTGAAGGGGGGGTGGGAAGAGAGTGGCAGGGGGTCAGGCAGGAAAGATCTCAGACAAGAGGTTACCAGCGAGGTGTCTAAGAGGCGTGTGTAGGGGTGTTGGATGCTTATTGTCAGGTTTCACTTATTTCACAAATATGTCCTATGCATGAAAACTGCTACCTAATCCTTCTGGCCAAATCCTCTACTTGCAGGGAAAAGATACTGGTCATAAAACAAGAAAACTTATTTGTGTTGAGCCTTACCAGTTTCTAGCTTAGCCAAGTTACTTGACCTCTTTGGATCTCAGGTGTATTCTCCGTAAAGTGAGATTGGGTTCGGTGGTCTCTAAGCCCTCTCTTTGTTCGAAAACGTCTAGGTTCCAAGCTTTTTCGAGCAGTGACGGACTTTGCATTGTAGAACATAAAGACCATGATGTGTACATGTGCTTACTTTGTTGGTTTGCTTTAGATTGGGGCCATCATTGGTGGGCTCCTCCTTTTGGTGGTCACAGTTGCTGGTGTGGTGCTTTCGAGAGAGTCTTGGAATCCAGACATCACGCTCCTGACCATCAGTTTCATCTTTCCCCTGATTGGCTACATCGCAGGCTTTCTGCTGGCACTGCTTACCCACCACTCTTGGCAGAGGTACAGTTAATTTGTCCATAAACTTTGTTGGGAAGAATAATTTAGACACACGGCCACTGGAAGGCTTTGCTGTCTGGTTGTGTCTGGGAGCACAAAGGGTTTTGACTTACAAGGTGGACGGAACAGGACGGCTCATCGTAAAGAGGGTGAAAGGATCATAATAATTCTTTATGTAAATGAAAGCAAAGGCCAAATTGATGGAAGTTGTGATCTGTGAAATTAGGGTTGGATTGTTGAGACCACTTGTAATCTGAACACCTTTCTCTTCATATTCTAGTAGTTAAATAGGAGGGCTGAGATGGTTTCACTAAATACAGAGATCATTCTAGGACATGAGCAAGTTCAAGAGATTAAGCATATATGCATTGTTTGTGCCAATAGAAATTTATCTTAAATATTATCATTACAAGTTGGGGAATATAATTTATAAATGCTGTGAAATATTAAAAATGATAATATTCCATGTTATTGGAATAGATGAGATGAGCATTATTATAAACTATTGGGGGTAACATAAATTGGCATAAACTCTCTAAAAGACAAGTCATATCAACAGCCTTATAAATACTTATAGCTAAAGCAGTGGTTTTACCTCTAGAGGTCTGTCCTGAAGCTATCAGATAGATGCATGAATATTGATGGCAGGGATGTTAACTGCAGACTTAATTCATGATATGGCTATGTGATGGACTATGATGTACCAATTTTAATGCTTTTGGAAAACACTTAAGAGATAAATTTGATTTAAAAAAGAACGGAAAACAGTATGCATTTTGATTCCCATCTTGCAGAAGGGAGAAAAAGAATTTTATGCATGGAAAAATACTGGAAGAAATACACCATATGCTAATAGGGTATTCTGAGTAGTGGGATTCAGACTAATCTTAGTTGCATAATATATTTTGGTATATATTTTATGTTTTTCATTGAGTATGTACTACCTTTAAAATCAGAAAAGAATTATTGAAGAAAAGTAAATTATGTAGTTGAATTCCAAAGGTGGAGTTTGGGAAAATTTTAATTGACTTTATGCTGTTTCTAGCTCACTTGGGAACATTTAGGACTGTACCAAGTACTGGGTGAGGCTCCACCAAGAGTATCTCATTTACTACAAGCCTGAGAGGTAGATATTATCAGCACCCACATTTTGAGATGAGCAAACCCTTCAGAGAAGTTAAGCAACTCAACCAAGTTCATTGATCCAGAATGTGGTAGAGTTAGGATTTGGACCTGGGTTTGTTTCCAAAGTTGGGAACATAGACTGTTGAGTGGTTGAAATATAATTGGATCTGGAGAGAAAGTATTCCTATAGCAAAGTGTAGTCAACATTCTTGTTTTTTCCACGCCTGATGGTTTAAGAAAGATTGGGACTGAGAAACTGCATGTGCCCAGTGAATGGTCCAAGTGCGAGGTCCAGCTTGTAGCTTAATCATATCAAGTTATCGACAGGGGTCTGAAAGAAGTTAAGGTCGTCTGAAAAAAAGCATAGCAAGCAACAAGGTCACTAGAAATAAAACAAGAGCCACAGAACTTGTCCTGCACCAGTGACGACATTTTAACTCCCACGTTCCACGCCGCATTCCAGCCCAGCTTACCTTCCAGAACGCCTCTCTTCACCTCCATCCATAAAAACCCGAAGACTCCCTTTGTAGTCTGGGGACAGATGAAATGCTTACCTCAGCCCCCAAGGTCCTGCCTATGTCTTCCTTTTTCTCCCTCCTGCTTTTTCTTTTTCAAGTGAGGTTTATTTTATTTTTTGCAGTTAGAAAACCAATAGAGTTAGGATTTGGACCTGGGTTTGTTTCCAAAGTTAGGAACACAGACGGTTGAGTGGTTGAAATATAATTGGACCTGGAGAGAAAGTATTACTAAACCTTTCACCAAAGAAACGATTGTAGAAATTTGGTTTTTATTTAAGGTCTTTCTGTTTACTTTCAAGTGTTGTTCAGTTTATACTGTTTCATGTTCTCTAACTCAACTTCCCTTCTCACCTCCTCCAAGCCTCCGCTCTGCACAGATTGGCTTATAGCACGTGCAGTGCCTCCTGACAGGCCAAGCTCACACCCGTCCCTGGAACTTTAATCTCAATCACTGTCCCACATGAAATGCCTTTTCCTCTCTCTCCATCCTTTAATCCCACTCTTCCTCTGTGAAGCCTTCTCTAACCATTGAGGCCCCTTTTTAAAATTTCTACAGCATCTCCCTGATTTGTCTGGTTGTCGAACTTTTCCTGTGTGTATATCTTGGCTTTTCAAGCAGATTCCCAGGGCAGGGTTCATAGGGCCCTACTCCCAACGCCTCTCAGGAGACCACCTACAGAGTAGGCACTCAGCAAGTAATTATTGAACCAGTAACTATGTTTAGTGGCCTAAGCTCATAGCTTACATTTATTGCTATTTGTAAGAGAACACTTAAGAATAGTTCTTACTGAAATGTAACTCTTGAAAAAATTTTTCATTGTAGGTGCAGGACAATTTCCTTAGAAACTGGAGCTCAGAATATTCAGATGTGCCTCACCATGCTCCAGTTATCTTTCAGTACCCAGCAGCTGGTCCAGATGATTAGCTTCCCATTGACCTATGGACTCTTCCAGATGTTGGATGGAATTCTCATTGTTGCAGGTGGGTTGAGCCCCATTGGGTATACTTGTTTGATTTGAGAGAGAGAGGAGGTGAGAGGGAGAGAGAGAGAAACATCCATGTGAGAGCGGAATATTGATCGCTGCCTCCTGCACACCCCCTACCAGGGACTGAGCCCACAACCTAGGCATGTGCCCTGACCAGTAACCGAACCGGTAACCTTTTGGTGCATGGGAAGATGCCCAACCAACTGAGCCATACCGGCCAGGGCCCATAGTCAATTTTTACTGTTGTCAGGGGAACAGACTCTGAGTAAGTCTCAGTGATTGCTGATATAACTGATTATATACTAACTACTGATATAACAATCAACATAAGGAATACTTGGGGTTTAATTTTCCTATAAAATAAGAGAAATCCTAACAATAAAACTCCTGGTCTTAGACTCAAGTTTGAATTCCTTCTCATGATGAGACTGTAAGGAAAGTAACCTGCCATCCCCAGCTATCTTCCAGCACCCAGGGGAGCACCTGACTCATGGAAGCTGTCACTCCACAGGAGTTGCTGACAGACTGATGGAATAAATGGATGAGCCGTCAGTGACCTAACGACTAAGGCTCATTCACAAATGGTCCATTTCAGACAGACATTGCCATTTTGGTACACTGAATTATTTTGTTTCATAGTTTCCTCTCGATTTCCTCTCCCCTCCTTTTTTCCTGTGTGTTTATACCTATGGACCCAAAGCAAACAACTTCCCAAAGTGTAGACAAGTGCACACGGTCACCAAATTATAATCCTTACTAAAGTGACTTTTTAATACTTGCATGTTTTAACATCTAGCATATAAGTTGTACAAGAGGAGATTGAAGAATAAACACAGAGAAAAGCCGGGTTGTGCAGAAGGCTGCCGTGACAAGAGATCCACCTCTCCCAAAGAGACCAGCGCCTTCTTGGAGGTGAATGAAGAAGTCGCTGTCACTCCTGGCTCGTCAGAGCCGACGGCTTCCCACGCAGCTCTCGAGCCGACGGGCCGCGTCTCTTCATGCGCACAGTAGGGGCTTGCTGGCCTCCGCAGCCAGTAAAGATAGTGCAGGGCTGACGCACTGTCTTTGTGTGGATTGTAAGTTGTCTGAGGATCCCTTTTTGAGAATGTATTCTGCCTATTTCAGGGAGTCCTTTTGGGGTTTACTAGCTGCCCTGCTCTCCCCTTTGGCGCAGTGAAGGGTAGTGCCCATCGCTGTGTGAAGTCGCCCTCACGTTGTGGATTTTAACCTCACGAGAGGAGGGACTCTGCAGCGATGTCATCTCATGCTTCAGGGTAAGGACAATCTGAACTCACACTTTGGGAAGGTCCTTTGGAACACTGGGGAGGAAGCATACTGCTTTTATTTAAAAAAATGGGGCCTTTTCTCAAATGACTGTTCATTTGTAACAGCTTGAAAGTCTTTTTGGATTATGGATGTAATACATATTTCGAGGAAATTTAACGAACATTTGAGGTTAAAAGGTGAATGCCCCATATTTTCACTCCCCAGTGACAGGCTCTTGTATATCCTTCTAATTTTTGTTTACACGTTATGTCACTAAAAACATTGGGACTACCCCGTATATGCTGCTTCGTAAGTCACCTAATGACGCGCTATGGAGCACCTTCACGTCAGTCTGGTTCACCTTACCTCGTGCTTTGGAACAGTGGCTTCGTAGAAGTATTTCACTGCAGGGAAGGGCTAGTTTACGTAACCCTTCCTTATTCACGGACATTCAGAGAGCTTTCAAGTATTGGTATTGCGATGCTGCTACAAACGCTGTGCCCTGCCGCGAGCGTCTCTGTAGGATCACTTCCTAAACTTGAATCGCCAGGCCAATTGCGCATTAAAACGTTGGCGGGTTGCTCCCCCGCAACGCTGTGTGCAGAGCAGTGCCCGACAGGGCCTGGTTTCCCACAGTCGGACCAGCTAAAGGATCATCAATTTTGTTTTGTGAAAATATCCCACTTAAAACTGCATTTAAAAAATTATGAGTAAAGGATTTTTTCATGACCACTTGCCTATTCTTGTCCTTTGCCTTCTTTTTAATTTTTTCCTTTTTTGATTGATATATTATGGAGAGTGACCCTTTGCCCTATGTTTTATCTTTTTTTTTTTCTATAATGTCTTTTGCTGAACAGGAGTTTTAGATTTTTTACATACTTAGCCATATTAGTCTTTTAAAATATGTTTTTGATCTTGATATCTATCCATTGTTAGAACACTTATATTTTTATGTGGATTGTGAACTGTGAAAGGATTCCTTTGTGAGAATGTATTTGCCCCTTTTCGGGAGATCTTGGGGGTCTCCACGACGTGCTTACGAGCTGCTGTGTGTACTGCCTGGCACTGTAAAACCCCTCCCCTCCTCCATCCTTACATTAAAAATATGTCCCATATGCTTTTCTCTTGCTTTTATGAACTAAGTGTGTACATGTTGTGTTCCATTTTGAATTTATTTTTCTGTACGGTGTGCTGAGAATCTGATTTTTTACGGCTCACCGTTCCAACATCACATCTTGACTCATTCGTCTCTGTACTGATTTGAAATCCCACCTTTATCACCTAACTTCCTACATAATGGGATTTTGTCAGGACTCCATTGGGTTCCATTTCCCCCCCCCCCGGTCTATTCTTATTTGTAAGTTTTGAAACTTACAAAGTGTGAGGAAGTGTATTGTCTGAGATAAACCTTTACAATTTTATTTTCTAAGTATTCCCAAGAACTTGTGGGTTAAATGACGACAGTGATGATTACGCTATTTTCACAGCGATGAAGCACGCCTTTGCGGGAGTCCAGAAGGAGCCCCAGGAGGCGGCACAGGTATATGTACATGGACGAGAGTGCCACCGACTTGGGACAGGACGTTAATCCTCTGGCGCTGACCCCTTGGTGGCTCCCACCCGCCCCCTGCTAAGGGGAGTGTCTGGGGAGCCGGCCCGCGCTGCGTAGCCACACGGCCCAGCAGCAGGGAGCTTTCCAGTTTAATGGGAAGAGACCACGGCAGGGAGCGGTCCAGTTGTGCTGGCACAGAGACCCCAGGTCGAAAATGAGGATTACCAGGAGTTTTAAAGACTCCACCAGAAAATGAATTTCTAACCTGTTTCTCTATGGAGGAACTTAAAATAAAATGGTAAAATCCAACACTGCTCATCAGTCAGCGTTTACCACAGTCAGGACAGTCTGGGGACCGGTCCACCGAAAGCCATTCTTTAAGACAGAAACAATGACAATCACTGTAAGGGTCTGAAAGCAGCCACGTGGGTCAGAGGACTGCCATCTCCAGAGACGGTTTGTAAATGTGTTGCTGAGAAGGCCTGGCCACAGTCGAGTAGCCCAGAGGCCATGCGTTAGCGTTAGGATGAAGAGTATAACTTGGAAAGGCTCGACCTGAATCAGCTGCGCTCTAACTGATCTAAGTAAGGGTTGGCCGAAGCCAGGGCCTACGCGAAGCTCAGGAGACGTGGGGCCCGAGAAATAAGGTCAAGCGGAGCGAGTGGGGCTCTGTCCGGGGGAGCCGGGTGCGTAGCCGGGCAGTGTGCTGCGCTGCGGGGCGCGGGGCTGGCCGCGCTGCTGGCTGGTTCCACCTGCAGAGCTGGCCCGCCTCTCGAGTCATGGGTTGAAGTCAGGCAGACCTGGCGCTGAATCCCAGCTGTCATTTGGGCAACTTGGGCAAGTGACAGTCCCTCTGCGCTTCAGTTTCCTCTCTGAAAAATATAAGAAAGATAACATTCAATCCTAAATACCGGGAAAGGTAGGCAGTGGGAAAACACCTGTTATGACTCATGGGAAGTGAGTGGTGAGCGTCCTGTCCCCTTCTTCTCCCTTATGTGGTAACAATTAGTCTCGGTGTAGAAAGAGTAATTCATTCTAATCCAGTTTAATGAATCACATCTTGGCTTCTAACCACCTCCCGACCGGCCTCTGTGTGCACGTACTTTCCTACCTGGAGGAGCCGCCGAATGTCGGGCTTGGTCATTCTGCTAGAGGCCTAAGCTAAAAAAATTAGCCACGTGGTCTATCAGCGAGTGTGCTGAGTTTGCTTAGCCCGACCTTTAGAATATACCTCATTTTGGGTGAATGGATAAAATTATGTTTCTAAACTTGCAAAGCTGAAGACTACTTTCAAATACTTTCTAGATAGTTCTGGGGTCAGGAAGATTTTTAAAGATTGATCCAGTGCTAGCTACTAAGGAAATGGTGGAAACTGGCAGAACCGGAAGGCACACACTGCTTGCGGCTCCCCAATATCTATTGTTATCTTTGTCTTTATTAACAAAACCAAGATTTTGCTCAGGGCAGCAATATGCCTGAATACAAATAACTTTTTTGAAGCTAGAGAGGGCCATGTGACATAGTTCTTGCTAATAAGAAGTGGAAGTCTACTTGTGATTTCTGGAAAATTTTGTTTTCTTGCCCTAACTAGGCACTAACTAACCCTTTCTCCTGTCATTCTTCCTATTTCCTTTCTGGAATGTGGACGTAATAGCTGGAGCTGCAGCAGCCATTTCTAGACCATGGAGGAAAGGCCAGGATAATTATGTATCTGTTGATATTCTTGAACTGTAGAATCAATCCCAGAAACCGCCTACTTCTAAACCTCCTTTTTTAAAGGAAAGAGATCTCTAATTTGTGTAAGATCATTTGGTTGGTTTTTGGTTACTTGCAATCAAATGCAATCCCAAATTGATATGTTAACATTTAAATTAGATTAAAAATATCATGCAGGTCAATGCAGAATTTGTTACATTTTGCCCCACCATCACAAGGTACCTTGAATGTTTCTGAATTATGTAAAACGGGAACACAATCTCTTACTGTCTAGGTAACTGTGACCAGAGGATAGCTTTGGTGAGCTGTCCTTTTTAATTGCTTACGTTGATCACTTTGCATTTGGATAATTAGTCATGTTAAAACCAAGTGATCTGTCCTGCTTGGGCGACTCACTTGGTTGGAGTGCCATCCCATGCACCAAAAGGTTTAGGGTTCGATTCCCAGTCAGGGCGAGTGTGGGAGGCAGCTGATCACATTTCTCACGTCCATGTCTCTTTCCCCCTCTCTCTTTAAAATCAATAAAAAGCATATCCCTAGGTGAGAATTAAAAACAAAAACCCAAGAGATCTAGCAGGGTATCAGAAACCACAGATGTGAACACCCGATTTTCCTCTCAGCAGCCAATTCTCTCCTTTTTAATTCATAAATATTTCTACTAATGACATCTACCAAAGTTTTCATTTGGAGACAATGTTTCTGATCCTGCAATGCTTAGGACTATAAGATACCACTCTTTTAGAAAACAGCACTTTTGTTCAGTTTCATAAATTATTCCATCACAATTTGCGTTTCCCCTTCTACAGCACAGAGTGGCCTGTGACGGAAACACCTGGTCGCCCAACTCACTTCCCAGCTTCCTGGTACCCGGGGACACCGACAGTTCCGGCTGACGAATGAGTGGCAGTCATGTGCTTTGTCTCCAGGCCTGCCCTGTCCACACAATCCTCCCGCAGGTGGCCCTCCATGCTCTCCCTGTTCCGGCTGGGGGCATGGAGGTGACCCCGGGATGACCTTGGAAGCTATGTGCTGACTACAGAGCCTCTGTCAGAGGAGAGCTGTTGGCTGAGCTCTTCTTCTGCCCAGAAGACTGGAAATGATTGTTTGAGCCATTATGTGTTTGGGCATATATTTTAGAGTGCTCAGTTATCTAATGTGGGTAAGAGCCCACTTGTATTTATTCTTTCCCTTGACATTTGAATGCCTCCATGTGCCACCCTGGCTCTGTGGCCTTGCCGTGCTTTTGAACTAGTGTGGCCCTAGCAAATGGTTCATCCCATTTGGTTACAGTGGAGCCAGGGCCCAGAGAAGGGCGGTAACGTGTTTACTGTAATGAAGTTTCCAGGGTCTGTAAACTGAAAACTGCATTTTCCTCCCACTTTCCATTTCCTAGCTACGCTCTTCCCAGAAGAGGGATCTTGCCTCAGCTCTCCCCTCTCCCATCTCTGCTGACTTCAGATGGTGGATAATCACCTCCAGCTGCACTGGCTCCTAGTGCCTGGCTGGCCTGGTTTCCTGTGCTTATGACAGGGAAACAAGGCCTCAGGATTCCAGCTCACTCAAAGCAGGGGTTTCCAAATATATATATATTTTTAAAGATTTTTTTAATTGATTTTGAGAGAGAGGGAAGGAGGAGGGAAGGGGGGGAGAAACATCGATCGGCTGCCTCCTGAACATCCCACACTAGGGATCGAGCCCAAAACCCAGGCATGTGCCCTGATCGGAAATTGAACCAGCAAACAGGACGACGCCCAACCAACCGAGACACAGTGGCCAGGGCTCCAAATATCTTTTAAAGCCACAGAAACCTTTAAAACGAAATCTTCAGCTACAGCCCAAGCTATAAAAACTATTCTTAATGAGAGGGACATGGTGGTGATGCTGCTTTTGCCAGATCTGAAGCCACTTCTGGGGTGAGGGTTGAAACCCACTACCTGGCGAGGAGTCAACCATCACCGCGGGGCTTCGGGCACTGACTGATGTCTCCTGCGCTCATGTAGCCTCATATACAAAGGAATAGGCCCCGGCAAACCGCTGCACTTGGGCATGACCAGAAGTGCAAGTGAACTGGCTCAGAGTCGGTCAGCCCGTGAGGGTGAGCCAAGCAGCTTCCTGGGGCTCGACAGGCAGCCGCTCACGGTGAAGGGGCGGCCGCCAGGGTCAGGGTGCTGCAAAAGGCGCTCACTGATGAGAATCAGAAGCCAGCTCCTGAGGCGGATCTCTTTCCCTTCAGGCAAAACCAAATATGAATCTCCCGGGTAGGGGGACAGTGTCATCTTTTATTACTCCTCGTATCTGAGAGACTGAGCTTTACCACAACCGGAACTTGAAGATATTCTGACACAGGCGCCTCTCAGGCCAGCTGGCGCCTCTCACGGGGCAGCGGGAAGGGAGCCTGAATTTCTCAGCCACTGTCCGCCGGTACCTGCCCCTCACGGCACGGCAGGCTTGCTGAAGACCTGTCGGGTTCCTGACAACGCTCCGGGTCCCTGTGGCTGGCACCACTGGGCCCAAGTCGGGAAATGGAAATTTGCGGTCCAGAAGTCCTTGCCTTCCTAGGTACCTGGGTGTTGTTAAATTACACACTGAAGATGTTTAATTAGTCCACACACACTTTTGGCTTGTTCATGTTTTAAGGTGTATTTTTATTTACAAAGTGAGATGATACATAACAAAGAGGTGATACAGTTACAAATAATCTGAGCACTCCAATTTTCATGAAAAAGTATATAAATATATTACAGTAAATTCTATATAGTAAACATTAGAAATTGATACAGTAAACATTTGCTACTTTTTTTCTATGCCAACACTACTGCCATTTAAAGCTTAAATACTGGTTTTAAGTACCCCCTATAAAATAACTACTTTATTAAAATACTGGAAAAGAATTTTTCTATAAACAAGATTGGTACATTAAAAATAGACTCAGTGTGTCCCTGTAAGAATGTCCACTATAATCAAATGCTGCCTTAACTGACCCTAAGAGCTGCATTATTCACTTAGTGTTAACATTTTAAAAAATAATTATTGTGTTAAAGTAGCTGTAAAAATACAGCATTTCGACATCGCACTGTCAGGGATGACGCCCCTCCAAGGTAGAGGAGAATGAACATGATACTGTGCGGACCTGCTGCGCCGTCTCCGTTGGTGACGAATCAGAGTCTGCTGGAAGCTAAGGCGAGGGCCAGAAAGGGTCCAAGAGGCTGATCTTCCCAGGTCATTTCAGAGGCTGCGGCTGCTCTTTCTGTTCTTCTTCAGCTTGAAGACGTGTCAGCACATAAAGGATGACTTGGTAGCAGAAAATATATTGATCCTATAGGAGGGAGGGGAGAGGAGAGAGAGGACTTTAGATGTAGAATGTGAATGTTTTATAAATATAGCTTCACCATCTGATGTTTGAGTAATTTTGAAAATATGGGAAATATTTAATGTGAGAAGCAAGATGTAGAATTGTGCAGTGTCATAAAAATGGTAAAAAACAGAAACCAGACTGATAAAATGAGAAAGGAAAAAGCCTTGGGGTGGGGTGGGGGGAAGGGACAGAAATACCCAGAGTGCTAAGTGAAGCTGTCTCTGATTGGTGAGCTACTTCTATATTTTTGTGATTTGTTTTTATAATGCAAAAATAAACTTCGTAAAAAATTTCTTCTAGATTTATTGAACTCATCTTGGTGTTTTGAAATATCAAGAAATTAACATCGAAGAAGCTACACAAAATACTTTTCTTTAAATATCTGGAACAGAAGAATATGGAAATAAAAGTTTTTTGAAAGTTAACTTTTTTGGTGAAATTATTCTCTATTAAGTTGATGGTGCCTTGGTCTGAGTTTTCTTATTTGACAAGGAATGAATGAGTCTGAAAATAAGTTGAAAAATTCACAATATACTAAATGGAAAGTAATAAAACAGTAACTATCGCATTGAAAATAGTTGCATGTGTGTGAGCATGCACCCCTGTGAATGAGGAATCTAAGAATGTTGCCAAAAACGGCAACAGCTCTGAAGTGGAGGAATATAAGTAACCCTTTATTTACTTTTTGCTCACCTGTCATTTACCTTACCCCTATTTTCTACATGTTCACCTTTAACCTTCTCTCACACCCCAAACAATTCATTAGCAAACCCACTTTCCTTCTCCCTCCCTCCCTGCCTCCCTTCTTTTTAAGATTTTCTATTGATTTTTAGAGAGAGAGGGAGAGGGAGAGAGAAACATTGTTTGGCTGCTTCCTGCACGCCCCCCACCGGGGATCGAGCCCGCAACCTGGCCACGTGCCCTGACTAGGAATCGAACCGTGTGACCTTCAGGTTCGCGAGTCAATGCTCAACCACTGAGCCACGCAGCCAGACTGGTCCTTTAAAATGTGAGTCAGATCATGTCACTCCACACTGACAACCCTGTCATGTCGCCATTTCACTCAGAGCAAAGCCTAAGCCCTGGTCCCATCGCCTCCCCCTCCTCCCTCTACCTCAGCTGCGCTCGCCATGACCTTTCTTAAGCACGTAAGCCCCACCCTTACCTTGGGCTTCCGCGCAGGTGGTTCTTTCTGCCTGAAAGGCTTTTACTCCCAAGAATCTACACGACCCCCTCCTTCACCTCCAGATCTCTGCTCAAGTGTTATTCTCAGCGGTGCCATCTGCTTAAAATAGCACCTCAACATGCTGCGATGCACCCTCTTCACCCTGCCCTGTGTTCTCTCCAAAGCACGTATCACTTCAAATACCCTGTCTGATCACTTAATGGGTGCCTTCCCCACCACCCCACTGGAAGGCTGTGCTGCTCCAGCAGGGCCCTGCCTAGTCCCTGGCTGAGCGCCTGGCGAAGCGCCTGCCCAACCAGTGCCCTCTCTGGGTCTAAGCTGCTGCTACAGAGCAATATCCTTGCTTTACCTAAAAAAATGACTGTGAAGTAGCTGAATATTTAGACTTAATTCGAATTAAAAAGGTATATAGAGAGGAAAGTAGGAAACTTCTAATTTTAAAGATAGTAAACTTCTATATACTCCAAGAGGTAAGGAAATGTGAACTTATATGAAAACGGCTTCCGCATCCCTCCCCCCAGAACAAAGAGGAGAGTGGACCTGCTCAAAGCAGACGGACACTAAGTAATGCTGTCCCTGTGAGGGACACGAGGCTGCAGGGCAGTGGTGAGAAACTGGTCTGATTTCAGGTGAGTGAAATGAAAGTGATCAAAACAGAGGACAGACAGACCCACCCATTCTCTCTGCCCAAGGACGCCTCGTCCAAGTCCAGCAACCCGGCCCGCCTCGGTGCCTTCCTGCTGATGCTGCTGAGTCCACTCCCTCCTGGGGAATTTCTGTTGCGAGAACATTCCCTTCTATCTTTTTGGTTGGATATCGGGAAGGAAGGGCACTAATTACATGCTATTTTGCACCAACCCCCATGTCTGGGGACAACATACCAACCCACGCTCTGTAATCTATTCAGTGGAAATATTGTGTTTCTTCATTTTTAAAATTAAAAGGCAACATTTAAAAAAAAATGAAATACTTTTAGAAATACTTTTTGTTTTCTGAATTAGTCCTTATGCTTAAAAAAAAGTCCCTCTTATCATAAATCTTTGGATTTATGCAATAATGTGGGAATCCTCAAAAGAGAAATGGTTTAACTGGAACTTTTAAAATATCAAAATCTTCAAGAAAATCCTCATTAGAAGACACCGAGACTCACCTCTGTCTGAACCATCCCATGCCTCTGTAGTCTCATGCAGCGTACTAAATCAGAGATGTCAAACTACCAAAAACAAAGCAAAGCAGAGTCTACATGTTAGGTAAAAAGTACAGTCCAGTTTAACCCCAAAGATTCACAGAGCCATGGCGTATACAGACTTCTGTACCCCATTCTCCTTCCCCTTCTAGCAGACGAAACTAGTCTGGACAAAATGATGACTTTGCCATCATTTGATAATTCTATTTATGATCTTTCAAGAATTAAGGAAGGTTATTCTACTTGAAGATCCCTAACAGAAATTCTTTTCCTTCTGGCAGGAAGAGATTAACCAAAGAACTTATATGCATGTCTGCACAGCCCATGGACACACACAGTGCAGTGAAGGCCTGGGTGGGGCGGGGGCCAGGAGGAGGTGGGCAAAGGGAGGAAAATGGGGGACATCTGTAATATTGCCAACAATAAAAATAAATTTAAAAAATCTTGTCCCCTCTGAAATTTGACTAATTTCTAATTAAAAAAAAACAACACATGAGGAAAATGAATTTTCCTATGCTTTGCTTTTCAGAATAAAATGCCTGATCTTTTTATTTTCACTGATATGTAACACTAGGAAACAAGGGAGAAGCAGGCTATTTTGTTTTTGTCCCACCTAAATTATTATGGTAGATGTAAGAGTGTGAAGTGCAGATAGAACTGTTGTCACTAAAATTCTTTAAAAGACAAATATTTTAATTACATATTACATATAGTTCAATATTCTAACATTTTAAGTAATGTTTATACTAATTTAGGTTTTAAGTAATATTACACTCATTAGCTTCGTTTATTAATGATTTTTAAATTGGGAGTAATTGTTTAGAGATAGACTAGCATCAATTTGTTTAACAAAATACACACTGCCCACCTACAGGCAACAATAACAAAAAAGAGTATAAGCCTGTTCATTTCAAAATGGACTTTTTTTTTGTGCTTCAGTGTTTCTATCCCTGAAAGTATAATAACAATATTTACTTGCTCTTATACAAGTCTAAAGACTATGAAGAGTAAAATGCAATGCTGCATAAGGGACTTCTGAGCACATGGCTAAAGAAACCCACTAAGAAAAATATAAATTTGAGGTATTATTTCTTTTTCATTACAGTCTATGCAGTTTTGAATGCTTACAAAAATACAATTCCATAATCTGTAGTAACAAAATTAAGGCATTCATACAAACTGATGAAAAAATTCCCAAGATCTCAACATGTTATTAAAAATTAGATTCCACTGTTACTTTTGGTCGAATGCTCACTCAGCGTACCCTTGCACTCACCTCAAGATCTTGACCGATTAGTCCTAGAACCACATCTATGCATATCAGGGTCCCCGAACGCCCGATGCCAGCGCTGCAGTGGGTGATGATTGGCCCTGACCTGTGAACGTGTCTCATGTAAGAGATGAAGGTGAGCAAGTCGTCTGGCTGCGAAGGGGTATCATGGTCCGGCCAGGCGGTGAAATTCAGATGTGAAATGTGTCGCACCTCTCGTGTCTGAAATTATACAACAGAATAAGAATATAAAGGCATACTATATTGCTCACATGTAATTCTTAATATTTTGTCCTTTCAAATTTTAGCTTTTTCATCAGATCAAATCAAATGAAAAGTAAAAGAGACAAAAAGACTCCATCAAACAACACACACATGGAGGGCCTTTAGTAAGGAGGCTGCTAGGTCCACATTTTAAATAGCAGTAAAAACTACTTTTTGGAAATCCTAAAAGAAAAGTGCTTTGATAACGACTTTTTTTTAATGACCCTATTTCATACTCACTCCAGAGAAAAGCCAGAGTTCACTGCAATGGCTTAAACACCCTACATCACTTGGCCCAGCTACCTCTCAGACCTAACCTCCTCCTCTTGGCCATCCTGCTCTAGCCACGGGGATCTCTCTGTGGCTCTTTAAAAACAATGGGCAGCCTGGCCAGTGTGGCTCAGCAGTTGAGCATTGACCTAGGATCCAGGAGATCAAGGTTCGATTCCCGGTCCAGGCACATGCCCGGGTTGTGGGCTCGATTCCCAGCAGGGTCCGTGCAGGAAGCAGCCAATCAGTGACTCACTCACTCATCTTTGATGTTTCTCTCTCTCTCCCCTTCTCCTTTCCTCTCTCTGAAATAAATACATATTTTAAAAAAACAAAAACTTATTTAAAAAATAAAAACAAAAACAAACATAATAACAATGGGCACAATTCAGCCTCAGGGCCTTTGCCCTCACTCTTCCTGACTGAAATGCCGCCCCCCCCCCCCCC